AGTGGAGCATGTAAAGGTTAGTTAGTGAGTCTATTGATGATAATGTAATGTATTCCACTACTGAATAGAGTCTACTACTAAAGAGACTAACCTCCCAACCAATACAGTGTCTGTTGCTAGTACTACTACTACACCAAACACTGATCATGTTAATAGTAAGTACATGTACACACTGACTCTCCTATTTATTTATTTATTTTTAGAAGTATCATCCACTGGTGTTATGGAGGCTATGACATATGCTGGTGTGATCTATTATCAAGAGAAAGGTGTAGAGGATCTAGTAACGTTTGCTGCAGCCAGAGACTTGAATGCTCTCATTGAGGTAAGTTTTTGTATGTCAAGTATTGATTAATGTTTAGTGAATTTACAGTTTATTAAAATTGATTTTCTGGGAGCTGAGAGAGGACAGCATGCTTATTTTTGTTTCAAAGACATTGATGGATGTATTGAATTAAAGTTTGATACTCCCCAAAATGAGCCATTCACTGGTTGGAGTATTAAACCTCACATGACACCTTGCAGGGTATATGTTATGTACTTATAGTTGATACTTCATGTACATTCTATCTCTTTATAGTTACATCGTTGTGATGTTAATAGATTTGGTGAAGCTAATTATCCTCTTCCTCCATCTTGCTTTATATCCGTTCTTGCTTCACCTGATGCTGTCCCTACACTACACTATTCCATACCATTGGAAGGTGTGGCTGATCCTTTTTCGTTATGTATCCACAGATCACTACAGAGGAATCCTCCTTCTCATAATTATAAACATAATTGTGTTTTAAAAATGTAGTGAGCTGACTCATCATGACATCACATCAGAACTCATAAATATTCATGAACTATCTTTGTATATAATGTATGCTGTGTAATTATTATAATCAGTGTTTGGGTGTCAACACGAGGCATCGTTAGCTCTCTCTCTAGCGCAGCAATCCTGCCTGCCTTCATGCTAGCCATTAACCAGCACTCATTCATAGCACTCCATTTTCCATTTGCTATAAAAAGTTTATTTATTTTGTCATCAGATCCTAATGTAGTACATGAATCAACATCAGTATCATCCACTGGAGGAGCTAGTAAGTGATAATGCTGTGTGTATATACTGACCTTTGACCTCTATTAGATCCATCAGCTACTGTTGATGTTGAGAGATTGAAGAAAATCATTAACAATGTTCTTGTATCTCGTGATGCTGCACTCAATTCTCTTAAGACGTCTCTCTCAGATCTTGCCAGTCAGTTATATGCAGCTCATCTTATTAGTGATGAAGTCAGAGAGACTCGTAGCATGGAAAAGTTCATTACAGAATTCAAGGCTAGTCTTAATTTTAAGAGGAAGTTGCCTCAAGTGCAGGAGCACTGTCAAAAGTTCTTAAGCTCATTCATTGCTGTAAGAGGCAGTTATGCTGATGCAGCAATAGCTTTAGGTGAGGACTGGATTGAAGCTATTAGAAATGAACTGGGATTTGATTTTAATATTAATATTGATACTTAATTACATACATGTTGTTGGCTTGATTTCAAAAAACTCAAATAATTTTAAATTGTTGATTAAAATTAACATGCATTTGTCATGTCATCTCATTGGTGCACTCATATTCATGCATGAGCTGAATTAACGCTAGATCTACTAAATCCAATGCAAAATCCTGTGAAGCCAGAGTATGTGAACTGAATTATTTTGATAGATCAACCACATCAGCAAGTGTTATTGAAACAACACCACCAATTATGACAGTTGACAAAAAGCATGTCTAGACGTATAGTTTATGTTAATCATCATGTGACCAGTCATATGATGAGGCTCATAGCGCATGTAATAAGACAGACCCTGTAATTAAACACATGAGAGTTATAGTAATAACATAAT